ACATACGAGCAATATGCACTTGCAAATATCGTGCCAAACAGAAATAAACTCAATCACATCCATCATGCATTTTCAATCAATTTAAACAATGCGTCACATATGCCTAAGGGCCACATATTCACAATCAATTCATAATCTAGAATTCACGCCATACGGCTACCCACAGCACACATAACACCATATAATTAGTCATCTCAGACAAGGAATGATCTCAACCAAACCACACAATGAATCTACGAATGGAAAGCACAAGAAAAGAAAACATGCTGCTGTGTTCGCTAACCTTCGCCTGGCGAACCTTCGCTACCCGTTCGCCTGGCGAACTTGCCAACGAAGACCACTGGGATTTATTCTGGAATTACTCGCTAGTACTCGCTAGCACACTCGCCTGGCGAGCCTTCGCCACACTCATTCGTCTGGCGAACTTGCCAACGAAGACAGGGTGTTTGGTTCTGACTTGATTCGCTACCGTTCGCTGGGCTTCGCCTGGCGAACCTGCGAGATCAGAACTTCCATGGCAGATCAAAAGCCTAAACCTCACAAAACCAACCGATTTAATCCAAATCAGTTCCAGTAGCACAACCCACTCATCACCCGACTATACTACACCGCCTATTCTAAATTCTAACCGATAAAACTCAGTTTCTACCGATTAAATCCACTTCCGACCTAAAATGGAAAAATGTAGGAAACCCCCAACAAATCCAAAGACACACATGCATAATCATACACATTGATTAAGATAGTAAGATTTCACACCCTTACCTCGATTAATCGGAAGCTAGAAGTCGTTCTTGAGCTTTTCCAAACTTTTCCTTCTTTTTCCTTCTACTTTCTCTTCTTCCTCCACTTTCCTTTCATGTTTTCTATTTTTCATTGTCGTTCCTCTTCCCCCATATATATATATATATATATATATATATATATATATATATATATATATATATATATATATATATATATATATATATATATATATATATATATATATATATATATATATATATATATATATATATATATATATATATATATATATATATATATATATATATATATATATATATATATATATATATATATATATATATATATATATATATATATATATATATATATATATATATATATATATATATATATATATATATATATATATATATATATATATATATATATATATATATATATATATATATATATATATATATATATATATATATATATATATATATATATATCCTTCCCTTCTATTTCTCTCCAATATATTTCTTCTCTTAAAATATTTGTCAATTCATTTTCTTATAAAATATCTCATCTTGACATTGGTTAGAAAACATCTGATAAATCCTCATGATTCTACCAAATAGAGTAAATCAGTTAAATCCAATAATTCACTTAAACCATACAGACCAACTAACTAGTACAATTAATCAGTTATTAAAAATCGGGTTGTTACAACTCTCCCCTACTTTAGGAATTTTCGTCCTCGAAAATATTATCCAATTCAAATCCACTTTCTCTAGTTGATCCTCCAAAATACCTTTACCAAGACAATCCCTTTTCCTTAAAGTTGTCTCAACTGTCAAATTCTCTCTCACTCATACACCATCCATCTGGACCGATGCGCTTCCTCAGCTTAGACACATGAACACATCATGCAATTTCTCCTAGTGACAGCGGTTAAACAATCTAACATGCTATTTTTCCACGCTTCCGCTGCGCTACTCTGATACAGATTCAACAAGACACAGTTTGCCTCCGAGACCTCAAGCTCGATCAATACTAGTTACTATCGTAACTCTCAAAACACGTCCTTTCTTAGGTCCTCTATTCTTTTCAGTCGTCTCTTGCACAATCCCAAGTTCGAGTACAACACTCTTGCCTGACACACATCAACACAAAAGAGTCCTACACCTCCTTCTTATCCATCTCGATCCAACACACGAGCTCTCAACAAATCCTCTACATACTGGATAGCTCCTTTTGTCTGCCCATCCATTCACGGATGCTAGACAAAGTTCAATTCAACATGGCACCCAAAACATCCGCAAACTCTTCCAAAATCTCAATAAAAACACAGGTTCCCATCTAAAACGATATTAGACGGTATCACATACTACTCAGAATTACTCGACAGTTGCATCAGGCCAACAGTCTCTGATGTTCACACTTCGACTTTCATCAAGTCTAATCAGCATATACAACCGCAACCACTTCTCTCCATCCATGGCCACCAAAAAAATCCTATCAAAGTACTCTTATCCAATCCACACTATTCGGACACATAGACTTTATCACAACATATCATGTCACCATTTCCATAAATCCTAAAATCAGCCCTTCGACTTCAATCCATTAAACTCAATCAATCTATTAACTCCAATTAGAATTCCAACCTTCTCGAATCCCATCGAGAATACCAATAATCAGTCTCATCATACAAAGTTCAACCCCATACGAAGTCCCTATTATTTCCTCTGCATCCTATGCAATTTTCTCAAACCAAATAAATACCTTAAGCTCTTAAGATCATTAACCATCTCAAATCTCAACTAAACAATTGAGGCTCCCAAACTCCGGTACAAACACACAACAACAATCAACCCTAAGTCACTTGTCAGATAATTCTTCTAATACATCAAAACACCATTGTTTACATCAATAATTACTCAAGTCCATGTCACTACCTTCTCGTCACACAGAGCACTGTAATGACTTCCCACGCTCCTAACCTTGCGTCATTCCAAATTACGGTCCTCCCGTTACCACAAGGTCGTAGAAACAACATTCTGCACTTAGAAGGCCATTCAATACATCTTCAGCTTCTCGAATTGGTTGAAGATTTTACCATACCAATCTTGTGTCCCGTATCTTACTCCCTTTAGTAATCTCCAGAAGTCACCATCCACTCTTTATATACTTAACCTCGGAGTCTATTGTCGTAGCACCCACACCAAACGCGAGTCTCAACTACTCGATTAATTTAACTCCTTGACCATCCAAACACACATACAACATGGGTTCTCAATCTCGGACCAGTTCCCGAAATTAAGTCTTTCACAACCCCACTTCACATCCTGGCCCTGTAACACTTATCTTGTCAGGATAAATTCCAAACATCCATAACTAATCGGAAATTGCCAACCTCCCACTTTCATTAGCACTCAAAATCTCATCAAAATTCAACATCTCGACACTGTCCTGCGTCGACTTCTCAGAACAATCCTTAAGCACTTGGCTTCACTCCAAACAATTCACTGCACACACCATCTAAGCTCGCAAGACACGTCTATCCCATCCAACACAATCCCAACTACTATCAACAAGAGATTAAGGGTGATCAGTTCCTCAATCTGTCAACAGACAGCCGAAAATCATGATGGAGTATAAACCATCTTTACCAAACTATAATAGCGCTTAACAACACACCGAGCTACAACTCCACTCTTACAACATCCTGGAGAATCACAAGCTTCTCCCCCACTTCGATCATTCCAACTTCTGCAGACGAAGACTAGACAACAAACACGTACCAACAGTGTTTCACACACATGTCGCGTACAAGGGAACAACCAACAAACACAACTTGCCCGGACGGACCGACCTGCTCTGATACCACTTAATGTAACACCCCCTTTCTATACCCCCAAATAACACAATTAAATCATTTAGGCACGAATTAAAAATTCCATCAGAGTATATTTATTTCATGGTATAAAAGAAGTGTGTCACATTACTCACGAAACGACCACATGAATATTAATGTTTATAAAGAAATAATTCAAAAGGGTTAAATCTCAACTAAAAAGAATAAACGCATGGTTCTTAAAATAAGCATATTCATGTTTTCTGTTAAAGCGGAAGACTAAAACATTGAATTGCTTAAGACATGATAAAATACAAGTACACGCCATTAGGTTGTTCATAACATCAATCACAGTTTACCAAACATCATCAACTATTACATATATATAATGTATCACGAAGATACTCTACAAGCCTAGCTACCCGACGTTACATATCAGAGCGACCTAGGGGTGTTCATGGGTGCGGGTCGACCCGCAAACCCGCCTACCCAAACCGAACCAACCCACTAATTACCCGGACCCATTCATTTACGGGTATACCCGACCCAACCCGTAACAACCCGTATAGATTTGGTTCGGGTATTGGGTTTTAGTTTCTAAACCCATGAACCCGTTGACGTGGCATAATTAATTATTATTATTATTATTATATTATTATTTATAAATTTTAAAGTTGCTATAACTTTGTAAATTGTAACGTACACAAAGATCTTTTGCACTTTCCTTCCAGTTTCCAATCACACATTAAATTATTATTATTATTATAATTAAACATTATTATTAATATTAATCATGCTTGCTTGACTTATGCACTTCTAGTTTACACTTTACTGCCTTTTTATTTTTTTAATGAATCTTTATTAACTAATAATAATTAAGTATATATTAGAAACTTACTAAACTAAAGACAATACCACTTAACCTAACCCTATTTTTTTACTACGGCAAATCTCAAACGTCACCACTCCTCTTTCTCTCACGATTTTTTTTTTCATTTTACTCTCTCACATTCCAATTCCATCTTGCTTTCGAAAATCCACAGTCTATACTTTGACACTCTCATAGTTTCGTCTCCATATTGAATAACTATACTTTGACACTCTCATAGTTTCGTCTCCATATTGAATAAGGTTTTATACTTTTTATAGTTCTACAATATATTTATTTCAATGCAATATATTGTTTTTACAGTATGTACTTCAATAGTTTTATATCAATGCAAAATATGATGATAGGTTCAATGTAATGTACTATTTTGTTTCATATGATGCAAAGTACTATTTTGTTTCATATGATGAAAATATATTTTGATGCAAAGTCCTGTTCTGTTTCATATTATTAATTTAAATATATTTTGTTTAATGTTGTTTTAATAATAATTTATATTAAAAATTGTTTTTTTTATAGAAAATGGAAGTGGAACAATCACAAATTGTCAGTGAAGATGTTGCTCATCCACTTGAACAAGAGCAAGAAGTTCAACAAATACAAGGAGAAGGGTTGTCATCATTGCCACCAAGTGCATTAATAGAGGTAAGCAAAAGAAAACCCTCTAGAAAACCTTCTACAGTTTGGAAAGATTTTAAAAGGGTTAATGATAAGGCTATATGTAAGTATTGTGGGAAACAATATGCTGCAAATAGTGGTAGTCATGGCACTACTAACATGCATAAACATTTGAAAGTGTGCCTGAAAAATCCAAATAGGGTAGTTGATAAGAAACAAAAAACTATAGCTATTGGAAAAGAAAGTGAGGATGATCCTAATAGTGTTATCTTGAAACTTGTTGATTTTAATCAAGAGAGGACTAGATTAACACTTGCAAAGATGATAATCATTGATGAGCTCCCTTTTAAATATGTTGAAAATGAAGGATTTAATATGTTCATGAAAGAGGCTCAACCAAGATTCAAAATTCCATCTCGTGTCACTGTTGCCAGAGATTGTTTATGCTTGTACTTCGATGAGAAAGAAAAATTGAAAGGATGTCCTAATCGAGCTGATTGGGAACGAGCTCGTATTTTTGTGAAGTTTTTGAAAACTTTTTATGATGCCACACTTTCTTTTTCTGGTTCATTGCATGTTACTGCTAACTCTTTTTTCAAACAGTTGATGGATATTAAAAAAACGTTGAATAAATGGAGGCACAATGTTAGTGATCCAATTTTGAAAACCATGACAGCAAATATGCAATTGAAGTACAACAAGTATTGGGAAAGCAATACAATAAATTATCTTCTCTTTGTTGCTATTTATCTTGATCCTCGTTATAAGCTTGACTATATTGAATTTTGTTTTACTCGGATGTATGGTGAAAAATTGTCAGAGGATATGTTAAAGAAATTGAAATCTCTCATTGCTAAATTGTTTGAGCACTATTTATTTTTGTATCCTGTTTCTCATGATGGTGGTTCCAATGTCTCATCTTCAAACATTGCCTCTCATTCTAGAATTGAAAATGGTGAAGATGATGAAGATTGGGACAATTTGTTTAGAATGAATATGAAGAAAAAACAATGTGAAGTGCAAAAAAATGAGTTGGAAAGGTATTTGGAGGATGGTGTTGAAGATGATTCTCCTACATTTAATATTCTCACTTGGTGGAAAGGAAAAACAAATAAATATCATGTGCTTTCCCGCATAGCTAGAGATATATTGGCTATCCCTGTATCCACTGTATCTTCTGAATCTGCTTTTAGTACAGGAGGTCGTGTCCTTGATTCATTTCGTAGTTCCTTGAATCCCTCTACCGTTGAAGCTTTGATTTGTACTCAAAATTGGATCAAATCTCCTAAGGTCATTGATTTAGAAAAAGAGTTGGTTGAATTGGAAAAGGTTGAGTCAGGTATGAATTATATGTTTGAATTTTAAAATCTATTTTATTTTAGTATTACATTACATTATTCTTATTAGTTGTTTGTGTTTACATATATAGAGTTAGCTGGATTAGTTTCTATTGATGTTGGCATTACTGCGGTTGAGCTCAATACAACTGTTACTACTAGATTTTAAGGTATTTTCTAGTGTTGTTTTTTTTCTTCTTCTTTTGACTATTGTTGCTTAAACTTTTAACTGTTGTTGCTGGATTTTATGTTGTTGCTAAACGTTTCATTGTTGTTGCTGGAATCTTTTACCGCTACTGTTGTTGGATTTTCTGTTGTTGCTAAACCTTTCACTGCTGGTGCTGGAATCTTTTATAGTTGCTGTTAGATTTTGGTGCTATTAGACCAATATTGGACCAATACATCTATGTCATTTTAAGACTAAGTGATGTTTATTTGCTTTTGAATTATTTAGAATTTATGAATTTTATGGAAATGATATTTTATGGAATTTTATATATTATTAAGTGTTAATATATATGATAGTTTACGGACCTACTTTTAAGCATGTGCTAAAAAAGGTAACATTTGAGTATCAAAACAACTAATATATACTGTATATTATTATATATTTGTTTTACATATGTTGATATATATTTGTAATGGATAACATTTGAGTATCAAAATAACTAATAAATTTTTATAAATTAAGGTATATTAATGAAAATATATAAATAATTAATGGTGTATATGTATCTTAATATTTTTTATGACAAAGAAAATACATTTCAAAATTTTAATTGTTATATTTTTAATTATTCTATTTTATATGTAGGATTTGTCTCCACTACGTAAATAATTTAATTGTTTGAAATATGCAAAATTATATTGAATTGTGTTATAGATTTTTTAAATTGAAAATAATAATTATTATATACACAACCCGTGGACCCAACCCTACCCAACTCGTAAATATCCGGGTTGATTCGGGTCGGTTTTTAAAGTAGAATTACGGGTTTGATGATAAACCCAACCCATTGAAAGTTGAACGGGTTGGGTAACGGGTTAAGGCGAACCCGGTCCAACCCAACCAGCGTACACCCCTAGAGCGACCGACTCAAGAGAAAAGGAGTTATACTCCAAAATACACCTCCAGCAATCCTAATCTGCAATGCCTCATAGAGCATCATAAAACAGCAGAAGGGTGGGAAATATTACCATAATAACAATGCATATAATTATGTATATAAACAATTATAAGATACATATATGCCACATTTCTCAATCAATTCACACACTCACCACTCCCACATCAACATATCATATATATATATATATATATATATATATATATATATATATATATATATATATATATATATATATATATATATATATATATATATATATATATATATATATATATATATATATATATATATATATATATATATATATATATATATATATATATATATATATATATATATATATATATATATATATATATATATATATATATATATATATATATATATATATATATATATATATATATATATATATATATATATATATATATATATATATATATATATATATATATATATATATATATATATATATATATATATATATATATATATATATATATATATATATATATATATATATATATATATATATATATATATATATATATATATATATATATATATATATACATATGCACACTTCTCCTAACAATCACATATACATTATGTTTCATTTACCGCAAATCATATAAGCATATACAATCATACTTCTATAATTCACATCATTTTCACATAAACATTTACAACATGTTTATTTAATTGCTAATTCACATAAACATCTACATTCATGTTTATTTCACCAATGCCTCATATGAAGATGACAACATGCAACTCATAGAGACCGATACACGACTCTATGCAGATGCAAATGCGGTACCGACTCATTTCAGCAGGTTGAATTTTGAAGAACCAAAAATAACCATCGCTCAGACCCCACAAGGGCACACGAGGTTCTGTAGATTCTCCGAGGAATAAATATAACCATCGCAACATACGAGGTTCTGCAAATCCTCCGAGGGATCAATAAATAACCATCGCTCACACCCCACAAGGGCCAACGAGGTTCTGCAGATTCTCCGAGGAATCAATATAACCATCGCAATATACGAGGTTTTACAATCCTCCGAGGGATCAATAAATAACCATCTCTCACACCCCACAAGGGCAGACGAGGTTCTGCAGATTCTCCGAGGAATCAGACACACAAGAATGCATATCATGATGCTTCACATGCAACATGACTCATGACACTCTTGAAATGCACACATGTTTACAAACATACTCATGCATTCATCATGTTAATCGCATATATTCATTATGCACTCACAATATTTAAACATGGTTCACATTTACAATCATCATACATCACATACGAGCAATATGCACTTGCAAATATCGTGCCAAACAGAAATAAACTCAATCACATCCATCATGCATTTTCAATCAATTTAAACAATGCGTTACATATGCCAAAGGGCCACATATTCACAATCAATTCATAATCTAGGATTCACGCCATACGGCTACCCACAACACACATAACAACATATAATTAGTCATCTCAGACAAGGAATGATCGCAACCAAACCACACAATCAATCCACGAATGGAAAGCACAAGAAAAGAAAACATGATGCTGTGTTCGCTAACCTTCGCCTGGAGAACCTTCGCTACCCGCTCGCCTGGCGAACTTGCCAGCGAAGACCGCTGGGATTTATTCTGGAATTACTCGCTAGTACTCGCTAGCACACTCGCCTGGCGAACCTTCGCCACACTCATTCGCCTGGCGAACTTGCCAACAAAGATAGGGTGTTTGGTTGTGACTTGATTCGCTACCGTTCGCTGGGCTTCGCCTGGCAAAGCCTCGCTGCCATTCGCCTGGAAAACCTGCGAGATCAGAACTTCCATGGCTGTTCAAAAGCCCAAACCTCACAAAACCAACCGATTTAATCCAAACCAGTTCCAGTAGCACAGCCCACTCATCACCCGACTATACTACACCGCCTATTCTAAATTCTAACCGATAAAACTCAGTTTCTACCGATTAAATCCACTTCCGACCTAAAATGGAAAAATGTAGGAAACCCCCAACAAATCCAAAGACACACATGCATAATCATACACATTGATTAAGATAGTAAGATTTCACACCCTTACCTCGATTAATCGGAAGCTAGAAGTCGTTCTTGAGCTTTTCCAAACTTTTCCTTCTTTTTCCTTCTACTTTCTCTTCTTCCTCCACTTTCCTTTCATGTTTTCTATTTTTCATTGTCGTTCCTCTTCCCCCATATATATATATATATATATATATATATATATATATATATATATATATATATATATATATATATATATATATATATATATATATATATATATATGTATATATATATATATATATGTATATATATATATATATATGTATATATATATATATATATATATATATATATATATATATATATATATATATATATATATATATATATATATATATATATATATATATATATATATATATATATATATATATATATATATATATATATATATATATATATATATATATATATATATATATATATATATATATATATATATATATATATATATATATATATATATATATATATATATCCTTCCCTTCTATTTCTCTCCAATATATTTCTTCTCTTAAAATATTTGTCAATTCATTTTCTTATAAAATATCTCATCTTGACATTGGTTAGAAAACATCTGATAAATCCTCATGATTCTACCAAATAGAGTAAATCAGTTAAATCCAATAATTCACTTAAACCATACAAACCAACTAACTAGTACAATTAATCAGTTATTAAAAATCGGGTTGTTACAACTCTCCCCTACTTTAGGAATTTTCGTCCTCAAAAATATTATCCGATTCAAATCCACTTTCTCTAGTTGATCCTCCAAAATACCTTTACCATGACAATCCCTTTTCCTTAAAGTTGTCTCAACTGTCAAATTCTCTCTCACTCATACACCATCCATCTGGACCGATGCGCTTCCTCAGCTTAGACACATGAACACATCATGCAATTTCTCCTAGTGACAGCGGTAAAACAATCTAACATGCTATTTTCCCACGCTTCCGCTGCGCTACTCTGATACAGATTCAACAAGACACAGTTTGCCTCCGAGACCTCAAGCTCGATCAATACTAGTTACTATCATAACTCTCAAAACACGTCCTTTCTTGGGTCCTCTAATCTTTTCAGTCATCTCTTGCACAATCCCAAGTTCGAGTACAACACTCTTGCCTGACGCACATCAACACAAAGGAGTCCTACACCTCCTTCTTATCCATCTCGATCCAACACACGAGCTCTCAACAAATCCTCTACATACTGGATAGCTCCTTTTGTCTGCCCATCCATTCACGGATGCTAGACAAAGTTCAACTTCAACATGGCACCCAAAACGTCTGCAAACTCTTCCAAAATCTCAATAAAAACACAGGTTCCCATCTGAAACGATATTAGACGGTATCACATACTACTCAGAATTACTCGACAGTTGCATTAGGCCAACAGTCTCTGATGTTCACACTTCGACTTTCAACAAGTCTAATCAGCATATACAACCGCAACCACTTCTCTCCATCCGTGGCCACCAAAAAAATCCTACCAAAGTACTCTTATCCAATCCACACTATTCGGACACATAGACTTTATCACAACATATCATGTCACCATTTCCATAAATCCTAAAATCAGCCATGTTGCACCCTAAAATTTGCCCAACCTTATTCACTTGGTTTATGTTATCATTAGCACTTGCATATAGAGTCATGTACATAGTCTTACCATCTGCATAACACAAGCATAACAAGTCATCCAACAGGGGACCAATCATTGTTCTCATCTCTAGAGGCCCATAAAGAGGTTATGATCCTGATTCAATCTCATTCAAGTCATCAGAAAAGAATTTGAAAGTTGGAGAAGTCAGTGGATCAAGCATTGAGTCTATCTCCTAACTGAGGGTATCTGAGGATCAACAAAGTAAGTTGTGGGCTGTGAATGGAGCATGGAGAGTATGTGGGCATCATGGGAGACTTAGAAAGTCATCTGGAGAA